CTGCAGACTCCAGACAGTCTCTGTGTCGGCCAGGCCGGAGGCCAGATAGTAATCGAGCTCGGCGTCAAAGGCTGTGTAGTTTCCGGCGTCCCAGAGGTCGCGCACCTGGCCGTCGAGCGCATTGTAGTAGGGCTCAAAGACGCTGTAGAGACCGTCGACGGCAAAGACAGCAGCCAAGCGGTGCTCAAAGGCGGCCGCGCGCACAGCCAGAAAGCCGCCCATGGAGTAGCCAAACAGGCCGAGCTTGCTGCCGTCGACCTCGGGCCGGGCGCCTGACAAAAGGTAGTCGACCACGGGTGTGACGACCGTCTCCCACTCGGTGATGAAACCCAGGTTCTGCTCGCGGCGGACCGTCGGCTGGCCGGGGCCCTCGTAGGTGATGACATTGTAGCCGCGAGCGAGCGCGTCAAAACCGGTAGCATGCAACATCTCTTCCTGTGCACCGTCGTAGCCGTTGCCAAGAATGACGGTGGGGCGAGGATCGGTGGCGCTGGCTCCCTCGGCGCGGTAGTAGATACAGGGGATCGAAAAGTTGCCGCTGGCTGCCTTTAGCGTGATGCGCTCTCCGGGGATGGCCAGCAGGGCAATGGCACTGTTGAAGGCCGCTGTCTGGTTGGCCCAGAATGTCGCCAGCCGCGGGTCCGAGCCGTTGCCGTGCAGATAAAAGTCGGCGGACCGGAAATAGGTCGAGGCACGGAAGAATGCGTTTCGTGCAGTGACCGGGTCCAAGGTGGCATTGATGGCCTGGGCTTGTGCATAGACATGGTTGGCGAGCTTGTTAAAGGCGCCCGAGAAGCTCTCGAGATCTTTGGGGACGATGCTGCCGGCGGCCTGCAAGACCTCGCCAGTGTCGGCACCGAACGAGCGCGACAGACTGGCTGTGCGGAGCAGCTCGTAGGAGAAGGAGGAGTCGCTGCTGAGTGGAAGTTGTGTTGCATTATTCGTAGTGTTGGAGGCTGCAGTGTGCGGGATCGCGGCGCCCGATGCGGAAACTGCCAGGGCAGCCACAAACAAGCCTTTGATTAGTGAAGGGGCCATTGTGAATATTATGATGTGCTGCGTTGGAAGCAGAAAGAAGCAGGTGGTCAAAAGATTTGAGATCTTGTCAAGTTTGCAATGCAGCAGAAAGTCAAAGGTAGAAGATGAAAAGAGAAGACGAACGAGGATGATGAGATGGGCAACGAAATGGGATAGAGTCGAGAAGAGTGGATGTATTTATATTCGTCTCGAACCATATATCACGACGGTTACTTTTTGTTCTTCCTGACCTTCTTTCGCCCCTTATGGCTGAAATAGGAAAAAAGACAAATCAAGCCATGGTGACTGTGGGGACGACCATCACGAACAGACACAGCCTTGCCGCTCACGGCCTTACCGAGAGATACTTTGTGGGACACTCAGAGAACAAACAAGGCTGACGAGCATCAAAAGAAAACATGTACGTTTCTCCGTTCACTGTCTGATGTGGTCCGAGTGTCTTCCTAAAGAAGAAATCCCTGGAAGAATTCATTGGACCCGAGGCGATGATCAGAGCAAATCTGGACAGGCAGTGCCGGTACTTACTTGTGTGCACAGAAGTGGAGTCACTGATCGACAGCGCAGACATTCATAAGCGTCGTCTATCCGTGTCATGATTTTTATTTCTTGTCAACGTTCTCAAAGTCCTCGTTTTGCTGGTCGTATCCGCCGATTGATGTCGGTCGAAGTTGGTCGTCGTCGATGCTGACAGAAAGGACAACAGATTCAGGGCGGAGTTGTAGTGTACAGCCGATAATCCCAGCCCAACAGAAAGTGGGATCCACACTATGAAAAGATGGCCCGAGCGTCTTCCCAATTAGGCAAGAGATTTACAGCTCCAAGCTTTGCCCTGTAGGGCAGGCGCGCAGCATGCTTCTTGTCGTGAGAATCGACAAAGCCACAGAACAGGCAGGAGCACCCGGCGCTTCATGTTGCCCGCCTCCCCAAGCAAATCTTCTCGTTGCTACATCCAGGAGATACTTTCTGTTCAAACGGTGGACAACGAGTCGACAACACGCCATGGTCAACACTCGACCCACACTCGTCTCGCATTCGGAAAGCCACAATGGCCAGCAACGCTCGACAGCCTCCACCGCAAGCGTGCCGCACATGCCGAGCGGGCAGGATCAAGGTGAGGTCAATGGTGTTGCAAAGAACAGAATATGGACTCTTGGTAAATGTGGGTTGCTGACTCTTCCTCTCATCTAGTGTGACTTTGTCAAGCCTGTCTGCACGCCTTGCAATCAGTCAAGGAGGCCATGTACTGGCACTGGGCGGGCGTTGGTCTTCAAGACGACCACCATAGCTACAAACGGGCAGCCAACAACATCTACGAGCACATTTGGTGCAGCAGCGCCTTTGGTCACGCAATCCAGGGCCGCCGCGCAACTCGACACTGTCGCCGAACATGAGCGGCACATTGGCTTTTTCTGGACCGCCTACCTCCCAAACGGTGAGCCGTTTCCCGACGAAGCTAGTCGCTACACAACCTGCGGCTGGACACGCATCGTACGAGAAATGTGCGAGAGCCAGGTGACTACAACCGAGACCGATAGCACGACAGACCTCGTCCGCCTCGCCGTCGTGGCCAACGGCCTCTGCATGCTGGGCAGCCAACACCGCGATACACGCATGGTCGACGACGGCCACCAGGTTTATGGGCGTGCGCTGCAGAAAATGCGTGCGGCACTACAGCGGTTTGAGTCCACCGAGACCAAGAAGCTTGCGCTCCTGCTGACCTCGCGCCTGCTGACCATGTTCACCCTTCTCTTTGGGCGGGATGTGACGGACCGTGGGCCGCCTTCAGCTGCGCAGGGCGAGGCTTGGGTCGGACTCAACGCCGGCGAGATGGCACTGCTGCTGTCGAGCCGTCCCGAGGCATATCAGACGGGCGATGCACACCAGGTCTTTGTGGACACACGACTGCATCTCTTCCTGCCATACCTCATGTCCAAGTCGCGGACTAGTCTAAGCCGGCCCGACTGGATGACGGTGCCGTGGGCGGTGATCCCCAAGACACCGCTGGACCGCCTGATCGATCACATTGGGCACATTCCAGCGCTGGCCGAGGACCTGACTGCGATCAACAGCAACGAGACTCTATCCGAGAAAGACAAACGCATCGCCAAGCATGGACTGCGTCCCCGGTACAGTGCCTTTGTCGGCGAAATGAAGGATTGGTTCGACGATGTCGTGCCAGGTTTCGGGATCGAGGAGCTGCTGGCCATCGGCAAGACGAAGAAGAGGAAACGGGCGTCGGAAGGCTCTTCCTCCGTCCTCGAGCTCGCCAAGGCGCACACACTCGTGCTCTTCTGGGCCACTTGTCTGCTCTTTCGGGGTGGTCTTCTGCAGGTCCTAAACGAAGACGGCGACATCCCGCCGGAATTCGTCAACATGCGCGCCATTCGCTACAACATGCTCAAAATCATGTCGAGCGTTTTCTTTTCGCCGAACTCGAAATTGACGGCTAGCTGGTACAGTATCAACATTGCTCTCTTTCCGCTCCGAATTGTCATGGGCACAGTCGGCCGCAACGACAGTGACGACGGCGACAATGGCCACGGCGACATTGACACATGCCCGCTGTCGCCAGCCGAAATTGAACTTATGGCGGGCATCTCAAAAGAATGCAAGGCGCGTGGTGTCGCGAGTTTTCTCAACAGTATGGGCCAGTACTTGTCGGAAGGCGACGCAAAGGAGTGATGATCACGGAGCTGAGAGACATGAACACACGACACACGAACAAGAGCTCGCTCATTGGCACCTGTCGTCACTTTATGGGGCCTTTGCATATTTCAACTTGGGCGCTGCGTGCATACTACAAACGCCAACAAACTTAACAAAACCCTGCACAATATCCACTGAGCTATGAGGTGACAGCACCGAGCACCGCGCGGGATGCGTTTTCGCGAGGTGGTGCGCAGGATCAACCAGCACGGAAAGCTGTGAAAAGCAACTTCGCCAAATCTGAGTGCATAGTGCGGTTAACTACGCCGAAAGCGGCATCGACCTCGATGCAACAGCGCCGATGGCGTGATTGACTAGCGACGCACCTCATTAAAACCCCACGAATTTGGGGGGGCATTTGCGGGCGTGGGCCGCCCTGGACCGTCCTGGGCCGCATTGCAAACCGAACCGTGGACCCTCTTCCACACATTTCTATTGGACCCTGACTTGACGTGAGCGGACGGCCAGTCGTCAGTGCGTCCAAGGATGCCTTTCAAAATACAGTCATTTTACTGCTCACACCCGAGAAATGGAATGGCTGGCGGGAAGCAGCTCTTTTTGGGCAATTGACCCAGCGCAAGGAACAAAGGAAATAGAAATAAAATAAAAAGAGAAAGAGAAAACGGCAAAACGAGACAACAGACGACCTCAAAAAGCGGACTAGACGAGACGTGGAGGTCTGCAAGGTCTAGGCGTGGAGAGAGCTCTTTCAGCCAGCATTTTGCCGTCTTTTTTTCCTTGCGCGAAGCTCCTCTCGGTCTGATTATTTCCCCTGGCCTGTTACATTGTCCTGCCATTCGGTCATACAGCTCACGTCTTACGTCTTTCTTCGCTGTCGACCTTGCTCGGTTCCTCTTCATCTCTTCCCGACCAAAAGCTTCTTTCTTCTGCATTTACAGTTTTGTCGTTCGTTGTGCGGCACGCGCCCTGTGTGCTTCTTTGATACCCCGTTCCCAACTCCATCCTCCCAGTTGCTTCCTCTCGGTTCTTTGTACTACTTGTTTTTTCTGTAGCCTTATTGGCCTTCCATGCCCTTACATTACACGTTCAACATGTCGAAAATCTACGAGATCGACCCCGAGGCCGACACGCTTGTTGTTGTGCACCCTCTGGCCGAGTCCTTTGCGCCGTGGCCCGAGCACGACAACAAAAGCACGACGATCCCGACCCAGCACCTGACCAACGGCTACCGTAATGGTGCTGTTGTGCCCGTACCTGCGCCTGCTGGTGTGCGCATCAAAGTCTCGTCCAAGCATCTAAGCCTGGCGTCGCCGCGTTTCCGCGACATCCTTGCCCAGAAGACGGCTGCGGCCGCGAACACCAATGGCAGCGGGAAGCAGTCCAACGGCGTTACGACGCCGCCGGCCAGCCCGAACTCGCTGTGGCGCAAGCAAGCGGCCACTACCACCGCCACCGACGAGTCGGACGGCCGCATCCATATTGTTCTTGACGGCCTCGACGCCGACGCCACGACGACTGTGCTGAACATTGTGCACGGCCGCGGCGGCAAGGACCGTGTGCCCAAGACTGTCTCGTTGGAGGCGCTGGCACGCATTGCCGTGGTGGTCGACAAGCTCAAGCTGCAGGACGCTGTTGAGATTTATGCCGACCGCTGGGTCGACGAGCTCCACAGCAAGAGCGCACCGTCCAGCAAGGACAGCAGCCGCGACCTGGTGTTCTGGATCTACGTTGCCTACGTCTTCCAGCGCGACAGAATCTTCAAGGAGGCCACCAAGATCGCCGCCGCGCAGCTCACGGGCCCGCTGCCCACGCTGCCCAACCTGCCCCTGCGCGCCAAGATCGCCCACGACATTGATACCCAGCGCCAGGCGGTTATTGGCCAAGCGCTCGACATTCTCGAGACGGCCGTCGACAAGCTCGTGCAGGGCGATCTGGACCAGGATGAGGAGACCACGGCGACGGACGGCAAAGACAACAACTCCGACACGTTCTTGCTGGGCACACTGCTGCGTACGCTGCACCGTCACAAGCTCATCTGGCCTCGCCCCCCCTCGCCGTATGCCGGCGTATCGATTGCGGCCATCAGTCACGTGGCACACGACGTGCAGACGCGGGCGTGGCGGACGGCGTTCCGGATCGGCGACTCAACCCGCAACAACCGCACAAACAACCAGCTGCTCCTGACGCCGCAGCTCGACAACCTGCGCGCGGGCGTGGTCGGCCTGGCGCTAAAAAGCGACCTCGGCTACAACCTATATTAGTGGGCGAGACAATGAGGACGGTGGCGACGGCGACGAGGCAAACAACGGCCGGGAGAGCAGTGGAGTGGTCGTCGTCGTGCACCGAGAGCGGGAGCGAGCATTCGAAGGCTCTGAGCCCGGACTGGAGGTGATCAAGCAGGACGACAGAGACGTTGAAGGGGCGGCGAATATTGCAGCCGAACTGGCCACAGAACTGGCTACAGACGATGACAATAGTACCGGCGGTGAAACTGAACACGCTGACGGTGATGACATGGACAGTGGCGACGTCAATGACGGTGCCAACTGTGACGAGATCGGTGTGGTAGATGCGACCGACGAGGTCAATGAGCGCAACGAAGACGTGGACGACTACGTCTCAGAGGCAGATTCAGAAGCTGATGTGACGCTGGTGGACGACGGCAGCTTTGAGCAGCGGCAGGTGCAGCCGCTGTATGAAATGCCGTCAGATGCGACCGACAAGCGGCGGCTGGTGGAGCCATTGGGGGGAGACGAGCTGCTCTTGCCATGCGAGACGGCTCACGACACGGTCGTGCTGCCGGCGCGCATGGTCCTTGACTCGAAGCTCGACACGACTCTGGACCGCGTTCTGGTGTCGCTGAGTCTGTGCGCAAGTTTGGCGGTGATGGAGTGGGTGCCGCAGCTGCTGCACCCCGGATCGATGAAGCATTGGGGCCGGTGGATGGCGGTGCTCCTTTTGCTGGTTTGGATACCGGCTGTACATTAGGCGGGCACGAAAGGAGGGACGTGTGAAGTGTGCGTGGAGGGATAAACAGACGAGGAAAAAGCACAGACGCTCACTTTTTTGATCTCATTTGTCCGAGTTTTTTACATATTTGCTTTGCTCCTGGAAAAGATCGTTTGCACTGCTTTGTTTTGTTTTGGTCTTGTTCTTTTTTGTTGTTGTTTTCTGGATATTCCCTGTTTCATATCATTTTGCGCAACATTTTATTTTACGTTTTTCAATTTCAAGCAACCTGATCGACAACAAAAAGCAATATTCTTTTTATCTCAAGCAACATCTTCAGGCTCAGCAAATACTATTTATTTCGAAAACAAGTCTTTTTCGCTGCTGTGACGTACCGGCGCAACGACTTCCGATTCGTTCCATGAGCCGATGCTTCTCCGCATTACAAAGGGAACGCTTTGTGGACATTTCGCCGACGCGTGTTCCGTCCCAACCATGGGTTTTGTTTTACGGGTTCTGTTTCTCCTATTCGCATGAGTCGTCGAATACGTGTTTCTGGTAATACACCACTTCGACAGGGGCGACACGGGAGGACAGCGGCTTGACTTTGCCGAGGCAACTCTTTCTGTCATCCACGTCTCGTTATCCTGACTGCTACTACTCACGTCGGGAATTTCGAACAGACTCAAATCAGTCTCCTTTGAGGACTGTTGTCTCCGCGCTACCCGGAAACAAAGCTTCGCTTCTACGCAGTAACTATGTGTTAACCGTTCCCACCTGCCACACTAAATTTGGTCAAGAAAGCCTCACCTCCAGGAACCTGACATCCGCCGTCCGCGGCGGGGGGGAGGGGGGGTATCCCGACAGTTCCAATACTAACACCCCAAAGGGACAAAACAGGACTGAGAGAACCCTTACAAAGCAGAGACCATTTCGTCCATGTCCCTAGAAGCATAGTATTAAATTGGACCAAAAAAAAATAAGAATAAAATAAAAAAAATCGTTCAAACAAGGAGACGAAATGAGTAAGCACTTTCAGATTTTCAGAAAGCTTTAAGTCGTAACCCTCTCCCCGGGGACTTCTCATTAATAAAACAGTTGAAGGTCGGGCAAGAACCCCCATAAGGCTGGGGAGACAGCGAGGGAAAGCTGTTCCCGATAAAACTGCCACCAGCTGGAAAGGGCACTACTGTGTACACGGCAGAGTTCCACATTTTGTCGTCCATTAGAACACCAATTGCATCGTTGCTTCGAGGTCGGTCATTGTTTGATCTAAAGGGTAAATTGTGCAACATTTTCCACCAGATTGTATCTCGTTCCAACCTCCGTGTCCAGCCTGGCGAGAAACGTCCGTAACCTGGAGTCCGCGGCACGTCACACACTCTGGGGTTTTGATTATCAATCAGAAAGCAGCGCGTGGCACAGCTGTGGCATGTATTCCGTGGGCGATGGCCGAATCGGGATGGATTTCGCAATTGATGGTGTAGATGTGCACAATCTCCCACCTACCTGTTATGCAGCAACTTTAGTACACCTTGCCGGCGACGGTTCCGAGCCAGGCGCATGCGGTACCTTGGTCGCGCCTGCCTTGCTCTGTAAAATGAAAAGACGTCCAAATCATAACCAACGGAACAGGAAAGAACACCCCCAAAACTAATTCCGTGCGATGGCGCCTTTCCGTTTCTTGCACACCAGGGTGCCCATGGCGTCGATGGCCCCTTCCCACATCCACTCTGCGGCGAGCTAGCAATGACGAAATCAAGGCGACCAACGGCCAGGAGCGAGAGGACACTGCGCGGTCACTCGTGCACCCGCCGGCGTGATATTTCAACGCATTGGTCTCGCTTTGAACACCCACACCTCGCGGAAGACGGCTGACAAAACGTCCCGGTTTCCGTTGGCTTTCGACACAGCTTTGTTTGTTGCAGCCCCCCTTCGGAGTCGTCCATGTGCAGTACATTGCCCTGACCCTTTCCGCTGCGTGTATATAAATGGAGGGACCCCCAGGAAGCATGCCTCCTTGAGCTCGTTCTTCTTTTCCTTGGTGTCAAATCTGAATTCCGTCTCCGTACTCCCGACAATCTTGCCCACACAAGTCTGCAAGCTCTCTCGTATTGCAGCTTCTCCTAGCTATCTCTTACAATACAACACTACACCCCATCACAGCGCACACGACAGTCGCCCACCATGGCCGACAAGCTCACCTTCTACACCAACCACCGCTGCCCCTGGGCCCACCGCGCGCACATTGCCCTGGCCGAGCTCGGCATTCCCTTTGAGGAGGTCATCATCGACCTCGACCGCCCGCGCGACCCCTGGTACCTGGAGGTGAACCCGCGCGGCCTCGTGCCGTCGATCAAGTACGGCGACGAGATCATTACCGAGTCGGCTGTTGTCGCGCAGTTCCTGGCCGACCTGCACCCGGACAAGGCGCCCCTGGTCCCGACGTCGACGGCCGCCGGTGGACCCCTGGCGCGGGCCCGCATTGCCTTTTTCGTGGATACCTATTTTACCAAGGTGCACTCCCACGTCATCAAGCTGGGGCAGGCCAAGACCGCGGACGAGCAGGCGGCGGCAGGCGATGCCATTGTGGCGGCAGCCGTCAAGGAGCTGGAGCCGCTGCTGGCGGGCGGCGCCAAGTCGGCATCGACGCCGGCGGCGAAGCCCTTCTTTGGCGGCAGCGAGCGCCTGACGCTGGCCGAGGTGCTGACGGGGTCCTTTGTGCTGCGGCTGGTGCGGCTGTCCAAGCTGGGCGTGTACCCGTCCAACGTGCCGGCGGCGGCGGCCGAGAAGGCGCCGGCCTTCTGGGCGTGGGCCGAGGCCGTGGCGGCGCACCCGAGCGTGACAGGCATCTTTGACGAGAAGGTGGTGGCGGCCAGCACCAAGGCGCGTCTGGACAAGCAGCGGGCGGCATGAATCCGTGGCAGCAGGATGTGAGGCTGTGTGTTTGGAACGGTTTGCATCACCCGCAGAGGATGGGGGCAGATATGATGAGAATGACGAAACATGAATACAAAATGCGCATACTTCATCCCTCACCATGCACTGTGCATCCAGGAATCGGGCGGCGACGGCGTGAACGTGTCCATCTTGGACGCCATCGCGATATATGGAGGAGGGAGGGGAGGGGAAGAAACAGACATATATCCGTGCTCGTTGAAATAAACTCTTTGTTTATGCATCCCGTCAGCGGCACTTGCCGACGGTCAGCATGAAGGGCGGGGCAGACTAAATGCAGCATCGCGGTGAGACGCTTGGGTATTTTATTTAAAAGTCCCGTCTTATGTCTGACAGGCGTATTTTCATTGGCCATTTTGAATTTTATGTCTTTATTCTGTATGTCGCATGTTCTTGGCAAGAATATGCTCTTGGCAGGAATATGCGTTGGGCAAAAGAGCTGGGCTGTGGAAAGGAGGCCGTATCCGCAACGAAAGTCGTGTTTGAATTTGCATCAAAATTATTTTGTATTTATTTTTCAGTGTCATTCTCATTTCTATTTCCCCCATCTTTTCTTCTTTTCGTCGACGACGATATGGTCTTCGCGTGCCGCAGACCTGAGGTTGCCTACCCCAGTCTGATTCACCACCCGAAACGATGACTCGTAGACTGACTCGTCTAGCTCGTCGCCGCCTTGCATCGTCTCTTGGTCTCCGCATCTCCCACACGCCACGCACCGCTACTTGCGCGAATCGTCTCCGACTTTATGGCGTCTGACGTCGCCGGTAAACCACATCCGCGCCCACATGACGCGGGGCTCCTCGTCGTGGGGAGCAGCTCATGAGATCCCGGGTAGACGATATAACAGATGAAAGACGAGCGAGTTCGAGTCGTCGTTCAAGTCGATCTCGTAAAGTAGAAGCACAGCCGTTATTTCTGCCGTTCGATCCGACAGATGTCGTGCTACGACACCATTTAACACTACCACTCCCAACCTCATCGCTACAACCATTATCATGAAAGCCGGCCAGTGGAACGGGGTACGTTTCCTCTCCTTGGCGTTGCAACAAAAATGCGAGTGCAGAGCTGACATACCCCCACTTCCCTCCAGGCGACAAAGTCCATCGAGCTCAACAACGTGCCCGTCCCCGAGCCTGCGGAGGGCCAGTTCCTCATCAGGATGCACTCGGCATCCCTGTGCCACTCGGACCTGATGCCCGAGGGCCGCCCGGACGCGCCGACCACAATGGGCCACGAGGGCGTCGGCTTCGTCGAGGCGATCCACCCGTCCGCCGAGGGGAAAGGCTTTGTTGTGGGCGACGCCGTGGGCTTTCTGCCGTTCCTGGACGCCTGTTTTGCGTGCGACGCGTGCCACGTGCACAACCTCCGCTGCGAGCAGGGGACGACCAAGCTGCAAGGGTGGACGTCGGACGGCTTCTTCGCCGAGTATGTGGCGGTGAGCTGGCAGAATTGCGCCAAGATCCCGCCGCAGCTGGACATGGCGCGGGCGGCGCCGCTGTTTTGCGCGGGCGTGACGGCCTTCCACGCCGTCACGGGCTGCGCGCTGGCGCCGGGCGAGTGGCTGGCCGTTGTCGGCTGCGGCGGCCTCGGCCAGTACGCGACGCAGTTTGCCAAGGCCATGGGCTACAAGGTGGTGGGCGTGGACATCCAAGACGACGTGCTGGCGGCCGTCACGGCGCTGGGCGCAGACGCTGTCATCAACACGCGGACCACGACGGCGGCCAATGTCGACGAAGCCATCCATGCGCTCACGGCCAAGGGCGTGCACGCCGCGGCCGTGTTCTCGGCCGCCACGGCCGCCTACGAGACGGCCATCACGCTGCTGCGCCCCGGTGGCCTGCTCATGGTGGTGGGCATCACGGACACGCCGCTGCCCGTCACCGCCATGGACCTGTGCACGGGTCGGTATCGCCTCAAGGCCAAAAACACGGGCACGGCTCGCCGCATGCCGCCCGTGCTGGCCTTTGCCGCTCACCACCGCATCCAGCCGGCTGTCGACTTCCGCACGCTCGAGGACCTGCCGTCCATGGTCGAGGCCATGCACCAGGGCCAAGCCACGCGCAGGCAGGTGGTGCTGTTTTAAGTGTTGGTGAATGACGAATGGGGGTGTAATGCCCCTTACGACGCTCTTTTGATCGAGGCCCCAACGGCAGCTGCATTACCTCTGTCTCGAACAAGAGCTTTCTTCATGATGCTGCTGAATGTATCTTTTAGGAGGATATCTGAACAATTGATTGGCATTCCACGACTCTGTAAAGGCCGTCCATCTTCCGATTATACGAACTAGACCACTACCACTACGCCAACTGACAAAATAGAGAGCCCTCTAACAACAAGGCTAGATAGCATGCCTGCAGTACCGTAGTCCAGCACCTTTGTTTCTGTTTTGCCTTGGGCGGCTCGTGCAATGCACCCGATCTGGTTAGCCGCAGTTTTTTGCCCGACGCCGCCCCGTTGTGACCGTGGACCTCAGAGAATAGCACAGCTCGTGCAATGACCCAAATGGGGACTAGTGTCATATGAGCCTGTAAGTCGAGCCGATGTCAGAGGCTTCAGGACATCCAAGCGGAAGATAAAAGGAGACGAGATGCGCCTCATTGAAGAGGATTTCAATGTCTTTTAACATTCAATGGATTTTAGTTTGCATTCTGCTCAATCGCATCTACCCACGACTGCCACCATGGGCCAGCTCGAACTGTACGATGCGCCGCCGCCTTACGGCAGCAACATATCCACGTACCCAACTTCCCCTGCTCCATACGACATGCCTTCCGCGTCTCCCACCCCAGCACAAGTTCAGGCCGACGACCAGGAGGTCGATGAGCTCGCGGCGCACTACCGCCAATACATCCCGTCGGTCCCTGGTGGTGGTGGCGGTTTTGGCGCAGCGTCGTCAGCATTGTCCCCGCCCGCTGGCCTGGCACGTCCCATCCTCATCCCACAGGCGTATGCCGCTGGTTTCACGCAGCCGCCGGCGCCTTTTTTGCGCGCCTACCCGCCGGTTCTCGGTGATGCCGGAATGAACATTCCGCCCGCCCTCTTTGTCGCCATGATCGACGCCCTCAATCTGTGCATGGCCCCGCCCCCACCGCTTCAGGCCCTCAACCTCGTCGGCCAGGGTGTCGGGTTCGTGCCGAGCCACATTGCCCAGGGCGTGTCGGCGGGACTGGGCGTCGTGGCCGGTGTGGGCGTGGCGGCGGCGCGCATCACCCAGCTCAAAAAGTTCCTGGCGCGTGTCAACGCGGACGTATTCGCACCGCGAGGGCTGGTGATGGAGGTCGTCAAGGACGAGGCGGCGCTGCGCATGGTGGGCGTCTCGCCGTCGATGCTGCCGCCCGTCCTGCCACAACAAGCGCGTGGTGTGGCCGGCACCGGACCCGGTGTTGCCCCCCTCAATGCTCTTGTCCACACTCGCCTGACGCAACTGGCCCCGCACACGTCTCCCCTCTCATTTCATGTGCCGCCCGCAGCCGTGCCGACAAGCCTGATGGACCGCATCACGGCGCGCCAAAAAGCGTCTCGCCTGGCCAAGGATGCCAGGCGTGCGGAGAAGCAGCAGCAAATGCGCGACAGAAAGATGCGCAAAATGGAGGGACGGATGGATCGACAGTCGTTGGCGGCGTCGTCGGATAGTGGCGACAGTTCGAGTGCCTTTTCATCCTACTCTGAAGGCGCCGCGGCGATCCATGCCAAGGCCGACAGCAGGCGGCAGATGGCAGAGCAACAGGGCGACTGGAAGGCGGTGGCCAAGATTGAAAAGAAGCGGGCCAAGGAGATGGAGGACTTTGACAAGAAGCAACGGAAACACGGGGGCAAACACCACGACAGACACCAAGACAAACAACAGAGAAAGTATGACAAAGACATGCACAAGATGGACAAGAAGGACCAGAAGCAGGGGGAAAAGGATCAGAAGACGATGGGAAAGCTGCAATGGATCGTGATTCGGAATCGCCAGTAGTCATTGTAGGGAATATAAACATAGATGTCAAGGCAATGTTGTCACGTCACTGCCAGGCGAAGCACTGCCCGTCACACGTCCACTCTCGAGATACCACGTGCGTGGACGGCCAATCTCAAAGCCATGCGTCTCGACAATAACGCGCTGCATGGCTGTCTCGGCCCACACAGCCTCGTCGGCGCCCGGCGGAAGGTGTCGGGCGGCCACGTGCAACGGAAAGATGAAGAGAAAGGCGCCGGTGCTCGAGGGGTTGCGATCAAACGATGCCTTGGCCAGACGGCAAATGTCGGACGCCACGGACCTGCGCGCAGCCTCGGCATCCATCGGAGCCTGACCCGCCACGATCGAAACGTGAAAGGCGTCGCAGACAGGGGTCAGACACAGCAAAATAGCATGGTGCAGGGCCAGCATCGACAGGTCGGCGTGGCTCGCGGATGAAGCCCGGGGTGGCAGTTGCCGTTGTTGCCGCCACGCCGACAGTGCCAAAAGAAGATGCTCGACGCGGCGACGCAGGCCGGCGCCGCTCTGTGGCGTGGCGTCGGGTGCCTGCGTTTGCGCAGCGCCACCCAAGTCGTGCAGGATGCCAGGCACCTCGGCAAACAGGTCCATGAGTTCGCCTTCTGGACTCGTGTCCTGTGCGACGGCTCGCCATGCAGGCTGCGCCAGATAACAGGGCCGCCGCCGCAGCAGGGCGCTGATCACAATCGCAAACCGGCAGTGCAGAAACAGCTCGCGGCCGAACCCCGCCTGCATGTGCTGCGCCGGCCCCCGTCGCTCGATCAAGTGTGCCAGGCCATCGTAGTGCGCCAGCCAGCCCGTCGTCTCGGTCAGCGCCACGTTCTCGACCAGGCCCAGGCACAGCGCGCTGGCCAAGGTCTCGACGTCCCGCACGGCCACAGGGTCGGCCACGGCGGTGCGCAGCCGCCCCAGCGACCGCACATAGGCGCGCACGCCCGCCCCAAAGACGCGCGTGTCGCGGTGCACCTTGCCAAAGTAGACGGCCGCGAGGGCACGCAGGGCGTCTTTGTGCAGGGGCACCACGGCGGTCGAGGACGACTCGTAGTTGGCCATGGACGCCAGAATGTGCGGGGACGCAGGACCGCTGACGCGGGGCAGCAGGCGCGCGACGAGGTGGGTGTGGAGGACCGTGTCTTCGTCGGGCTGGAGAGACATGGGCACCAACGTGGGCACCAACGTGTTCGCAGTCACCTGGTCTTCGCGCCGGAATCGCGCCGTCTCGTCCACAAAGTTGGCGTGCAGAGCATAGCCACGGCACTGCAAGCCAGCCTTGTGGCACCGCTGACAATGTGGACGGCCTTCGTCTGCGGCCGTTAGTCATCTAGTCCCATCATCACCTACCGTCGAGCCACTTGCACGAGTCGTGACATACCGCATTTGAGACGGCGGCCGCGACAGGTACCGCACCCTTTGCTGCGGCCACCACGGTTGACCATGTCGCCTTCTTACGGTGGGTATTGGAGCGCGTGCGGCATTGCAAAAGCGTGGACAAGACCCGCCATCGGGACGTAGACAGTCGCTGATGTAGATGGTGATGTTGTAAGGGCAAAGAAGCAACGCGCATCCATAAGAAATAATGTTAGCCACAGAGTAAGACGCAGAGAGACCTGTAAAGTGAAGGTAGAACGGATGGCAGGAGCAGACGACACAGGGCGGTCAGAATGGGCAGAATATTGCCCTGTAATTCGACGCCCGAAGGTGCGGGCCCACTTTACCACTTCCGCTTATTGGCCTATTGGCCAGTAAAGGCTTCGCAAATCGTTTGCCAGGTCCCTGTCCCAAAACGGCAATTACAAAACACATTGACCTACGGACTATGGACTCGAAAGCAGAAGAGCGCATCCAAATCAGCGTGCTCGGTGCTCGCAACTGATCCTGGAGCCTTCTAATATTTTATCTGCGCCAGTCGTGTCAGATTCCCTCCTGTGGACGCTGCAGCCATGTGTCATGCGTTCACCAGGCGCTGAAGTAAGCCTGCCACTGTGCGCATAACAAGACATCACCAACCAACACAAGCCTGGCTGATGACTACGGGAATGGCCTTTGAGAGGAGTAGAAGCCCTTGCCAATTACACAGTTTGTTAGCTGGCCCTTGAATGTCATTAGGGCACCGCCCAATAGGCGCAAATTCACACAAATATTTTATTCATTTGCTTTGTTCAAATCAGTAGCTTGAGTCATATATCACATATCAAAGTATGCGTGTACCTGGGCAAACGTACATTCTGGTGTCTGGTATGAGTATTCAAGAGTGAAGTGTATTGATGCTTAATAATTTTCCCCAAGAAAATGAAAATGATTCTTTTTTTTAGCCATCCCCCCCCCCCGGGGTCCTTCGCCCTGCTTCGCTCCTTCTCTTCCCCCCCCTTTTTTTACAAAGTAGCATCTCATATTGTTTACTCTTTGCGCGAACTAATTTTATCTCGCTTTCTCTCCCCACACACAGCAACTCTCCGGATGGATGCTTCAAACGATACAGCCACTGTTTGCTCGGACGACACCGTTCGACCGCCTCCAGCGGCCATGGCATATTATCTTCCGCGTATGAACGGATCCTCGCAACTGCAACAGATGGTCGAGCCGTCTTATACTTTTCAACAGCCTACGGTGCCTCACGAAATCCCCTCGAACGGATCTTCGCAGCCGGCCACTATGTCCCGCTCTGAATCTCTGCATTGGTCCTTTGCATTCCTGAATGCAGCAGAACAAGCCCCTCCCTCTCTGTGGGAGAATGGGCAACCACGTCCGACGCAGCGTCCCGTGCCCGAGCCAGGCCGATATCCCGGCCTGCCTTTTGACTCGCTGCACATTGACGTCTTCCTTCCTAGCCCCAAGGACGTCACTGTCACCGACGGCACTCTCTGCATCTCGCCGCAGGTGAGGTCCACCATACGAGTCGAGGCCGAAATTGCCAGCAACACCATCCACGAAACCGTCAACCGGGCCGAAGCCGCACAGGTAATTAGTGGCTCCTTCCAGCGACACATCCAGGACGCCACCGGCCTGAATGCGAAGGCGGCCGAGGCAGCGGCCCTCCAATACACAAGAGCTCTGCCCAGCGCGAGGCTTGTGCCGGACGGGTGCAGCGACCCAGCTGCCTACCACGACGCCATGGCGCTGCAGCTGGACATGCTCTCCTTCCGGGCCGTGACCCTGTCCATTGGCATCCGCGCCCGCATGGCGGTGCAAACGATGGCGATGGGCGAGGCCTGTCAGCTGGCGACGCTACCCACGTTGCTACGGGACATGCACTCGACAGACGACCCATCGCATCCGTCGCGGGCCATCCTACACAAGTTCAAGTACCACACTGGTTGGTGCAGGGCCGATACAGTGCTGCATACGAGACGGGTCAGGGATTCGGTGGACACACTGCGCCAGCTGTACAGAGAGGCAAACATCGAAAACGATGCCACGGCCACCCTGGACTATGAATTGAGCAGGATCAGCACAGAAGACAGTGCCATTGAGCAATACTGGACATGGGTCAGTGAAGTCTCCTCTGCTATCGAGAATGGGAGAAATAATAGACCATCCAGCGTGTAAGGCTTGACGAGGGCGGTTGCTTTCTGCTTTCTTTCTTTCCTTTCCTCGTTCTTGCTTTCCTTTGTCCTTTTATCCTTCTTTCTTTTATGTGCATTTGCGTGTGCACGTCGTACTTTAGTGAGCTCGATTTTGAGCAAGTATGCTTTGTTTTTGTATATTTTCAATCTGTTTGGGAGTCGTTTTTGTTTGTCCTTTACTTTGCGTGGAGCCGATGGCGATACACGTACCATATTGATACCCGGTGTTTATCAGCTACATGTTTTTGCACAGCAGGCTATGCCTGTTTACAGCCTGTTTTACATGTGTACGTTTTTTTTCATTCTCTTGTCACTACGCATTTAGATGCATTAGCATTGAAAGTCTGACGAGCGAGAAATTAGTATACAATAAATATTAAAATTGAAATTAAACAAGCGAATAAAAATAGGAGAGACCAAATGGAGAGCAAAATTGATACCAACTGTCGTCTGGGTATATCCGAAGGTGACGAATTCACAACACTCATTATCATCATCGTCATTTTTGAGCCGAAACGCACCTTGTTATACATTCTCTCCTATTTGATGCACGCGTTCCTTTCCACAGCCACGAGCATTGTACCTTCATAACTAAGGTCAACATAATGTTAACAGTGGAGAGTTCAACTTATACAGATTAAGTTAAAAATAGACGACTGGACTGACTAGCGACTGGCGCCTAACAATGTTTCAACGCCAGACTTCTTATTCAAAGTACATAGTAATTACATCTGGCACTTCAAGAATAACCACCAGTCACGCGCGGACATTACCATAGTAAGCGTGATCCTGCATACCATAGCCGACAACAGTCAGCTCATCGCACAACTAATCTGCAAAAATTAGGTAAAAGGATGCACTCTTTGCATTTCCTCCTTCACATTTTTTCTACGACTATCCTTCTACCATTTGTCAATTGTCACAGAGGCTAATTACCTAATCCAAATCCCCCCCCCCGAACAAACCAACATCTGGGAAGCAATAACCGTATTTTATTTCGGTTCACCGTTGGTACATACGCACACGCAGATATGTTACGTGGAAAATGAAGTCACCATTTCCGCCAGATTCTTCAAGCGAGTGGATTTGGTCGAGTTATCTCGATGGCATTGCAGGACTCGTGGCTGACCCTTGACTGCCGCGGGTTGCATCCAGACGGTACCACCGATGTGGGTGCCTTGTTGTCGGATCTCTTGCTGACCAATGTCCGAGCAGGCCCTACACAAGGCCAGGATCCGAGTCCTAGAAAACCCAGTGATTAACGAACGTGGGTGTCTGGAGGCATTTTTATTTATTTTGGTCGTCCTACGAGAAGAAATACACAATTTTATCCAACGCAATATTTGTGCTGTGCTATGCCTACTCCCATGTCCACTTCCATTTCCACGTCCGCCTCGCCGTGTGCTGCTCTAGCGCTCATAGTCGTGTGCCGACCGCACCACCAACCGGGGGATGTCGTCGACTTTGTGCTTGCCGGCCAGGATGCCTGTGTTTGTTAGCAGGGCGGGTAGCAGTTTCAAGGTTTTTTTTCTTTTTTTTTTTTCTGGATTTGTACTTACCATCCACTGCGGTAAACAACGGATACTTGCTCTCTAGCCCCCGCGCCTTGAGGAAGCTGTTCACCTCCTTGGCCGTCGTCGTGCCCTGCAGCTTCTGCCCGTTGAGCTCGGTCCGCTCGACCTCCTCGACGGACACGTCCCGCTCCACCGACAGCTTGGCACACCGAAAGTTGCGGCCGCCCGAGCACGACGTGATCAGATCCGCCACGCCTGCGCTCTCCTCGGTGAACGTGGCCGTGTGCACGGTCTCGCCGAAAAACTCCTTGCCAAACTGCACCATCTCCATCAGGCCGAGACGCATCACGGCGGCCTTGGCGTTGTCGCCCCAGCCGCGGCCGTCGACGAAGCCGGCCGCCAGCGCCACAATGTTCTTGAGCGCGCCGCTCAGCGACACGCCCGCCACGTCGGTGACGGTGCTGACGTGGAAGTAGGGGCGGTGGAAGAGGGCGGACAGAGTGTTGTGGTCGAGCGGCGGGTAGTCGGCCGGCAGCGGCGCCAGCTTGGTCTTGCTGGCCTGGCCCCGGGCGTCGCGGTGGCGGATGTCCTGCGCAACAGCCTCGGCGGGCGACACCTCGCCGCTGCTCTGGTCGGACGCCCGGTTCGAGCCGGCCACGCCGACGCCGCCGCCGACACCACCATTGGGTGACCGGTCGCGCGACGCCGGGTTCTTGGAGTAGTCGACCGGCGGCGGGTCGTAGGCAATGGTGGTCTCGCTCCACTTCTCGAGGGCAATCTCCGAGGCCAGGTTGGCGCCGGACAGCGAGCCGCAGTAGATACCCAGGGCATCGCCGATCCACTCGGAGAAGAGCGAGATGCCGTCGTCGCTGACGTTGACGCCCTTGATGCACGAGACGCCGCGCGCGTACGGCAGGATCTTGCCTTTGATCTGCTTGCACACGTTGCCGATGAACTGGTGGGGCAGGTTGAAGACCAGGACGGTCGAGTCTTGGACGGCGTCGAGCAGCGACGGGTTGGCGACGACGTTGTCGGGCAGGTGGATGTTGGGCAGGTACTTGACGTTTTCGTGGTAGGTGTTGATGAGCTCCGTGAGCTTCTGGGGCTGGCCGTCGGCGCGGACGGCCTCGCGCAGGTGGTAGTCCTCGGGGACCACGACATCCTCCTCAAACACCCACATCTGGACCTCCTTCTCAAAGAGATCCGGGTGCTCGGCCGTGTTCTCGGCGACAATCTTGGCAATCGTGGAGCCCCAGTTGCCGGAGCCGACGACGGTCACCTTGTGCTTCTTGGTGGCGTTTGTTGTGCTGGCCATGGTGTGCGAGGCTGCTGTGGCTGCGGTTGTTGAGGAGGGAGGGG